AAACATTTTCTACCTCTCATTCATGAGAGCCTATTCCCCACGACCTCTCTGGATGTGGTTGCAATAGCCAGTTTAAATTCCCTGTCTGATCATTCTAATAGCTGACTGACTCAGTTTGGCATTGGCCTCAGTTGGTCCTTGTCCCTTAAGGATGGGTCACACTTTCCTGGCTTTTCCTATGCTGAATATTTTTGGATTTTCTCATGAACATAGTGACAATTACATTGTATAGACACTGAATTGTCATATTCCTGTGAACACTATTTCTTTTTTGGTTTTGGTGGGCCATGAACTTGGTTAGACTGTAGCTGTGAATTCTGCCACTCTTGAGGTGGGGGCAGAGGAATGAGTCTCGGCCCATTTTTCATCTTTGGCTGAGCTGTTTCCAGTCTGCTCTGCATGCACTTGACACAGGGGTCAGCAAGAGCGTCAGTCAGAGTCCAAGTGCTGGCACCACCACTGCCACACCTCCGGCTGTCTGCAGGGCAAAGCCACACACACACACACACACACACACACACACACACACACACACACACACACACAGAAAACCACTCCAGGCTGGCATCTTCCCTTAGATAGAAATTTCCCTCTAAGATCTGGCTTTTGTTCACTCCCCAGGGCTCTTGTGGAGTGGGTTTTTCACATTCTGTGCAAAACTTTGTGGTTGTTGTCTGTTGACAAGGCTTTTTAAAGGCACTTACTTCTCTATCGACTTCCGTAAGTTGACTCTTGTACCTGGCAGCCTCGCTGAATTTCATGCAGGTGCACCTTGGAGATGTGGGTTCAGTGCCAGACTGCTGCAACAAAGCATAATCTTTTCAGTGTCATAATCTTTTTTGCTGGTGAAGGGTCTTGTCTTCAATTTGTAAAAAAAAAAAGCAGCATCTGTGAAGCAAAATAAAACAAGGCATGCCTGCTTAATTAGCATTTGGTCTAATTGCATTTGGCATATTACACAGCAGAAAGAAAGAAGGAGCTCCTACCCTTTGTGACAGCATGAATGGAACTGGAGAGCATTATGCTAAGTGAAATAAGCCAGGTGGTGAAAAACAAATACCATGTGATCTCACCTCTAAGTGGGACTTAATCAACAAAACAAACAAGCAAGCAAAATATAACCAGAGAAATGGAAATAAAGAACAAACTGACAATAGCCAGAGGGGAGAGAGATGATGGGGGAAAGAAGGAAAAGAGCCGTCAAGGACCGTGTATAAAGGACCCATGGACAAAGCCAAATTGGGGAAGGAGTGAGGGTGGGAGGTGCAGGTGGGTGGGGCGGGGGAGAGTGGTGGTGGGAAAATGGAGACAACTGTATTCAAGCAAGAAAAAAAATGATTTAGCCCTGGCTGGTGTAGCTCAGTGGATTGAGCACGGGCCTGTGAACCAGAGGATCGAGGTTCAATTCCCAGTCAGGGCACATGCCTGGGTTGCAGGCTGGTTCCCGAAAGGGGATGCACAAGAGGCAACCATACACTGATATTTCTCTCCCTCTCTCCTTCCCTTCCCCTCTAAAGATAAATTTTAAAAATCTTTAAAAATGATTTAAAAAAAAAAAGAGAAAACCCAGCCCATAGAAAAGGTCAGGCCTGGCTGGTGTGGCTCAGTGGATTGAGCACAGGCATGTGAAGCAAGGGTCACCAGTTCGATTCCCAGTCAGGGCACATGCCTGGGTTGTGGGCCAGGTCCCCAGTAGGGGACACATGAGAGGCAACCAAGCATTGATGTTTCTCTCCCACTCTTTCTCCTTCCCTCCCCCACTCTCTAAAAATAAATAAAGTATTTTAAAAAAAGAAAGAAAAGGTCAAAGATGGGGCAGCTGTACACACTCAGCTCTGCAAACAGAAACCTCTGCAGGTATGAAACTCGCAAGAGTCCCCCACAGGGAAGTCCTGTTCACAAAATCATCAGAGAGGTCACGAGGAAGCGAGGGAGCTTCCAAGGACTTCGGCTTCAAAGTCACACCACAAAAGCTATGGTCTAAAGTCGAGAATTGGTGAGCAGGCACCGAAGTCCAGCCACCTCAGAGGTGTGTGTTGTCCACACCCAGTGGCCAGCAGCCAGAGCTCCGGGGAGGAGGCCTCCCCCTCCTGTCTGGGAGGCGGCCAGCGCCAGGGCAGGGGGCCTCCCACTGGCCCCACCGTCGTGAAGGGCAGTGCAGTGTGCTCACTGCAGCTAGCTGGCTTGGCTTTGTCTCCCCAACCCCTGGACTGTTGCAGTCCCCCATCCGGCCACTTCACCCCCTGGTGACGTCCACAGTACACTACTATGAGCCCAGAACTCACTCAAAAGAAACCACACTGTGGCTGATACTCTGAGTGGCCACCACAGAGAATGGCTTTGTGGGGTGGCCTGTGAAGACCCTACCAGGGCACCACTGGGAGACGAACCCTGGCTGTGCCATGTGGTCTTGGCCATTCACCGAGCGTCCGTTTGTCCACCTGAGAAACGGGAGAGTAAGAGCTCAGGAAGCAAGGACTTGGCTCCGACACATGCGTGGTACAGGATGGTCAGCCCGGAGCCTCTACCCACGCCCACCAAGGGAAGGGCTGAGGCAGCTCTCCACCCTGCACCCCTCCTCCCTGGGCGGCCCCTCTGAGGGGTCCCCACCCATACATTCCTGGAGCATGAGCGGTGCTGCTCTCAGCGGCATCAGAAATTCCTCATTTCCTTCCACGACAGACCCGAGAGGCCACCGGCCTCTTGACCACCCACCCACCGATTGAGGAAACCAAGGCAGAGGAGGTTCAGGTTTGGTCCATCACCCTGGAACATCCGAGCCACCACAAGCAGGGCCTACCCGGACCCTGGGGAGGGACCTGGGGACACCAGGGTTTTTTCCAGGGGTCTCCCGGTACACAGCTCAGTGTTCAGGCTCACGAGGGGTTGACCACAGCCTCATCCATGGGGGTTTGGGGGTGGATAGCAGCCCGGTCAGGGTCTGGGTCATGTGCGTGGTCTTGCCCGGGGAGGTGGGGGCCAGGAAAACCCTGTCAGCACCTTCTGGAACTTCTAGCCAAGCAGCTCTGGGTGGGAGCAGGGAGTGGGCTGAGGCTGGTACTGGGACCTACCCAGGAGGGGCCCCCGACCAGCCCCAAACAAGCAAGCTGGGGGAGGTGGGGTGGCCATTGCCTCTGCCTCCATGGATGCCCCTCCTGAGTACTCATTGCATTTGGGGAGCAGCGAGATCCCACCCCACCTCTCATGCTCTACGCAGAGGTTAGTACTTTGGGCGCCAGCTCTGTCCTAGTCCCAGCTGCTCCCGATGTCCTGTGGGCCCCCGGGCTTGCTGCGCCACATCCGTATATCTGAGACCTGTCCTAAGCCCATAATCTGCTGCCCTGCCCACCCTCTCCAGAGAGGCCTGCAGTTGGCAGGGAGTGTGGTCTGACTTCATATTCTGTCACTTGAGGGCCAGACCTCGGGGGCTGAGGTTGGGCTGGCGTGGGAGATTCTACAGGTGCATGGGACAGCAGGGGCAGGGGACGGCCTCTGCCAGTGTCCTGCAGCCAAGCCCCTGCCAGAGGCTGTGAGCTCGGGAGTCTCAGGGTGAGGGAGGAGTTGGCCATTCCTCCATCACAGGCAGTCACTTTTATCTCATACTCTCCCTCTGAGGAGCTTAGGGTCCACTCAGACCCCAGATGGCTGCAGCAGGGCCAGGGACAGGAGGGCAAGGGCAGGGACAGCCCTCTCTGTGGCCAGGCCCCACATCCAGGGCCAGAGCCTGAATCTCTTCTACTCCAGACTCAGCGTCTGAGCAGGGCTCGGCATGCAGTAGGTGCCAAGTGAGTGTGCAGGTGGCTCATGAGTAACAGCTGACCAGGTGGATGCTGGTCTTGGAGGACTCAGGGTCAGAGTGGGGACCACGCTAGGCCCTATCCTGTCTTACCCTCGCCGGGACTCACCACACTGCCTGGGAATTGTTTCCATGGCACACATAACTACCCAAGCCCTGAGCTGGCTGAGAGGCCATGATTCGATTGTGGCACTCTGGCCAGTCTGAAGGCTGCAGCCTTAAAACAACAGAGGAGTCTCTGTGGCCCCAACCTGGCCTTGGGTGGGGAGGGAAGGATGCTGGTTCCAGGGTCCATGGTGGCTTGCAGAGGCTCCCAGGGGGCCCCACCTGGGGTGCTGGGGGCGACTGGTTACGAGATGCTGGGTGCAGGCTGAGGGGAGGCGCAGAGGGAGGTGCGGCTCTTGCCTGGTCCCACTCATTGCCTACTTCCGGTCTGGGGCCTGGTGGGGGAGGGGAGGGGAAAGGGATTCTCCGGGGCCTTGCTGCTCCCCCGACATTCCCTGCAGGCTGGTTGTTTGCATAGCTGAAAGGGGTTGCTGAAGCAAGAATGTGCAGCCCCCGCCCCCCTGCCCCCCACTTCTGAGCTGGGTGCGGCCGACACAGGCCTGAGCAAAGGTTTGGGGGGGGAGTGGCTCTGCTCCACAGGGCCACCTGCAGCCTCCAGCTCTGGGCCTCCCTGGGAGGGACAAGTGTACATGGGGCTTGGTCTCTTTCAGTCCCCACCCTACCCTGGGACGACCCTCCCCACCCATCTCCCCACTGTGGAAAGTGCAAGGGGATCTCCCACCCCACACAGGAATGCCTACCCACTCACTGCCTCACTCGGGGGGCTGCCAAGTGGGAGGCAGCATTGCCTCTGGCACCCACCCAGGCCTCTGTTTTGAGAGGGACTTCAGAAGGGAAAGCAGAAGGTGGGCCCCACCCAGCTGTGTCCACCTGTCAGGGCCCTGGGTTTGCACAGAGGCCAGCGCCTGTGGCCGTGCATGTGGAGGGGGCAGATGGCCCTCAACCAGGGGGCAGCCCCAGGTTGGGGGGGCACCCAGCAGGACTCCCAGCCCTGGACTGCTTAGTTCCCCTGGTGCGAATGGGGAAATTGAGGCCAGCATGAGCCAGAGGCAGCCCTGCCCGGCCAGGAGAGGGGGTGGGGCCAGCTGTCTGCCTGCCCACCCCGCTCACAGCTAGGGGAGCAGAGTTGACTCAGACTCCACAGCCCCTGGCGGGAGAGGCCGTTTCCTGGAAGGGGTAGGCCAGGTGGGTTGTTTGGTCCCCAGAGCAGGGCTGCAGGACTGGAGGCGCCACAGATACTGCTGCAGGGGTCTGACAAGGTGGGCCCTGGAGCCCCTCTGGGGCTCTGAGGCCCCTTCACTGGCTGTGCACAGGGCCAGGGGTGGGCGAGTGGTGGGAATGACAGAGTGGCTGTCCTCCACAGACCATGGCCTTGCAGAGTCCTCGACCCACCCTGAGGTCCTTCGGAACCCCCACCTGGGGCGGCCTCCTGCTTCTGGTTTTCAGCCTCGGTGAGTAATTGGGAGTGGGCCGCGGCAAAGGGCTGGACCACGAGAGCACTGGAGGGCAGCCAAGGGTTCTTTGGGGGTGGGGCCCTCAGGAGAGGTTCTACCTGCCCCATGCCTCCTCCCAGGTCTGTGAACAGTGCCCCCATCCTTGGGAGGTGGCTCAAGTTCTGACAGGTGTCACAGATCTCAGCAGGTGCCTGAGTTTGGGGCAGGTTGTCAGGTACGCCTCTTCCTGCCCTGCCTGGTAGAGTTGCAGGCTCTACTAGGGCAGCGCTGTGATGGGGGCTCTGGCCAAAGGGAGGGTGTTTGCGGGCTAGGCGTCTGACTGCCCTGAGCAGTGGGGTCCTGAGAGAAGGATGCGGGAGGCCCGTGCTCCCTGGCGGGGTGCAGGCCCTAGCCTGGGGTGGGGCGTGGGGGGCTGTGATGATGACGGGGTACAGGGGCCTAACCCTCTATTCCACACCTGTGGGGTGTGCACAGGGCTGGGGGCCCAGGAGATGCTGGATTTACCTCCTGCTTCCCCGCGGTGGGGCCTGCAGCAGGCACACCCAGAAGCCCCCAGCCACCCCCTTGAACCTTGTGTTCCTGCCCTGCAGGGTGGACACTACCTTCCATGGCGAAGACTGCAGACACAGGACGGGTAGGGATCCTCTGGGGAGACGGGGGAGGGGTTTCTAGCCCTTGGTGGGTGTCCTTGGATGCTGGGCCACGCATGGCTCAGCGCAACCCTGCTATGTCCTCAGGGTGTCACAACCTCATGGCTGCAACGCACTTCCCAGGCTCAGCAGCCTGAGCTGATCGTCATCCTCCCGAGGGCTCTGCAAGGCACAGAGAGTGAGCACAGGGCCCAGCCCTGTTGACTGGGAGACCTGAGGGTGGGGGCTGGCACTATGGGGTCTCACCTGCTAATGCTGTGGCTTTTTTCTGGCTGCTCAGCTCATTCAATTGTGAAAATCTTGGAGAGGGGACAGGATCTCCCCATTTTGCCAATGGGTAAAATGAGGCCTGGAGAGGGTCATGACTTGCCCAGGGTCTCAGCGTGGTGTGGAAGGAAGAGGAGGTTGACTGGAAAAGCCCAGCCCCTGACCCCCTGCCTGCCCCTGTAGAGAAGGCCTGCCCCGAAGGGAGGGAGGTCCACACGGTGGATGAAGAACTTGTCTTCTATGAGGAGTGGGAGCTGGAGGCCTGTGTGAGCGGGGCCCTGCTGGCTGAGCAAATGGACCAGGTGAACGCAGTTCCCTTCACCCACGAGCAGCTTGACATTTTAAAGCACAAACTGGACCAGGTAGTTCATGGTTTGGGCTTCCGCCTGCTGAAGATGCCAAAGCCTTCCCCAGATAACTGGGAAGTGGCTGTGGCCCTCACGGTCCATTTCCCCGGCAGCTCTACCCGCAGGGGTACCCTGAGTCCCTGATCCAGAACCTGAGTTACTTCTTCCTCGAGGTCACCCCCGAGGACATCCACAAATGGAATGTGACATCCCTGGAGACAGTGAAATCTCTGCTTAAAGTCAGTGAAGGGCGAAAAACGGATCCTCAGGTGACCACCGGTTGGGAGGGGAGTGCAGGGTGCGAGGCTGTGCAGGCCTTGGGGAAAAACCGCTCCCCGCCCCGTGGCACCTCACTGGGCTCCTCCCACAGGTGGCTGCCCTGATTGCCCGCTATGTGGCGGGAGGGGGCCAGCTGGACAATGCCACCCTGGACACGCTGGCCAGCTTTCCTCCCACCTACCTCTGCTCCCTCAGTCCCGAGCAGCTGGGCTTAGTGCATGAAGATGTTCTTCGGTGAGTCCCAGGGGCCTGCCTGTGGGGGGTGTGCTGTGCCGCAAGCTCCCTTCCCAGCGCCATACTTCCTCTCCAGGGAGGTCAGGCCCCAGGACCTGGATGCGTGCCGCCCACTGCAGATGGACGTTCTCTATCACAAGGCCCGCATCGCTTTTCGGAACGTGAGCGGGTCCATGTACTTTGCGAGAATCAAGCTCTTCCTGGGTGAGCCAGGAGAACATGGGGTAACGGGATGCCGGAGGTCCCCATAGGTGCTGCCTTCCCCCTGGTGCTCTGACCAGGGGTCAGGGCGTCCTCCAGCCTTCCGAGTGTGTATGTAGGCTGAGGTCCTGTGAGTTCCGACCCCTGCTCAGGCACTTGACCACCTCCAGCCTCACCTGTGACTGGGAGAGTCAGGTGGTCACCAGGCAAACCAGGGCCCGGGAATTCCTTAGGAAAAGGGAATCTCGGTAAAGGTAGTGGGCTTCTCACAGCTTGTGTTCAGAGGGTAAGAGTAGGGGTAGTGTTGTGAGTTCTCACGCTTAGGGCTCCCTCTCCCTGGCCACAGGTGGGGCCTCCACAGAGGACTTGCAAGCTCTCATTCCGCAAAATATCAGCATGGACCTGGCCACATTCAAGAAGTTAAAGAAAGAGGCCTTGCTGGTATGGCCACCAGAGGGGTGGGGCCATTGGAAGGTGCAGCCAAAGGGAGGGAGGGGCCACAGAGAAGGGCTTGTCCATGGGTGGGTGGGGCCACTGAGTGGGCGGGGTCTTGGGAGGAGCCCGTACTAAGCCAAGGCCAGTTCCAAAGTCTGGAGGTGCTGAGGCGGGGTCTGTGGGCTAGAGAAGCATGGGGTGGTTTGGACAGGGCAGAGTCCAGGGAGACCTGGTCCAGGGAGACCTTCTGGACAGAGGCAGGGAGACCCTGACGGCCGCCTGGGGGCTTTGGCAGCCACTGACCATTGCCGAGGTGCGAAAACTTCTGGGTCCAAACCTGGAGGGCCTGAAGGCAGAGGAGGGAAACAGCCCCGTTCGGGACTGGATCTCCAGACAACGGCAGAAGGACCTGGACAGCCTGGGGCTGGGGCTTCGTGGCGGCATCCCCAACGGCTATTTTGTCCTAAACCTCAGCTTTCGAGGTGGGCTGGGGCAGCTGGCTGGGTGGGGCTGGGACAGAGTAAGGTGGAGGGTCTGAGTTACCCCCTCTCTGTGCAGAGGCCCTCGAGGGGGGGTCCCACCTCCTTGGACCTGGATCTGCGTTCATTATGATCCCAGCGCTGCTCCTGGTCTTGATCCTGAACTGAGCAGGATGCTCCGGATCCTGAACTGGGCCCTGCTGTGGAGACTCCCGCCTCGGGGGTGGGCCTGGGTGGTGCCTGCCCCACCCTAGGGGACAGGAGCTCAATAAAAGAGAACATGTTCCTCTCCAAAGAGGTGACCTGTGGTATTCTGGGGACAGGGTGGGAGTTGGCAGCTCTTGTGTCCTGGGCCCTGATTGGCTGTTGTGTTCTGAGAGGTGGGGGCCTGAGGGCTGTAACCCTATGGACAGGATTCCCTCCCTGACCCGCAGCCCCTCCAGTCTGTACTTGGAAGCAGGGCAGGTGGGGGTAGGCAGGGCAGGGACTCCAGCAGGCGTTGGGGGTGGGCTGCGGCCTCTGATGCTCTTCCATTGCTTCCCTCTCTTCTGAGGTAAAGTCGACAAACCCAGGGTGGCCTTGGCGACTCCCCAGGAGATGGCGGGTGGGAGTCCTGTTCCTGGCTAAGAGGGTTTCCGTGCCCTTCCTCGGGCCCAGAGCAAAGGGACACATGCAGGAAAATCACCTTGTCCTTTATTAAAATCAGCAGAGTGCCACAGCATCCCCCTCCCCAGCCCCATTTCTTTGCCCTGAAGGAGACCAGAGGGCTGTCTGCCCAGGTCCTAGGAGCTGGATGTGGGTGGGACCCTGCCCTGCAGGCTCCTAGGACGTGGGACGTGGCCAGGTTCCCAGGGCCTGGGGCTCGTGCCCTGGCCCGAGCTGGCATCCAGCCCCACATACCGGCCCTGGGCTTCCTGCATGTGGTGCCAGCACAGTGTTGTCTTTGGAGGCCTCTGTGCAGGTGCCCTGCGAGCGGTCCCCAAAGGGCCCCAGGCTGCCCCAGTACAGCAGCCACAGGAAGCTGGAGGGCAGGGCCACAGCAAGTGGCAGACCCCTCGGGCGGGCTGGTGGGCTGCCTGTGGGTGGAACACGGGAAACACCCGTCAGCCCTGGCTGGGAGCCACACCAGGATTGTCCTGGCAGCTTTTGGGCAGCCCCTCCTTCTGGGCTCCAGGCTCACACCAGCCCCATGGGTGGGAAAGGCCGTGTGTGGCCACTCTTCTGCGCCCCCACAAAGATCTCAAAGCTTCCCCTTCCCTGGGGTCTGGCCCCTACTTTATGCAGTCAGTGGGTCTGGAGGAGGCAGTTGTGTCCTTCAGTAAATCAACGGATGATACAGGGTGAAGCATGTCACTCAAATGTCACCCGAGAGGCAAGTGGGAAAAGCTGGCCAACAGAGTATGACATTGGGCAGGAGTAGTGGTTTGAGGTCCATAGTGGCCCTGGGCAGACAGGGTCCAGGGTCCAGCAGAGTCAGGGGAAGGCCTGCCAAGGGGGAGGCCTGGGTGTGTAGCTGTACCTGAGGAGGGGGCGTCATTCCCAGAGCTGCCTGATGTGAGGGTTGTGTCTCGCATCCCAGTAGTCGAGGGGACTGGGCCTGTGGGGCTGGCGGGGCTGTCAGGGTCTGTGTCCATGCCCAGCTTGCCCAGGGCCAGCCTGTTCAGGCTGCGGAGCCAGGAGCTGATGGTCGGGTGGCTGCGTGCTTTCTGCAGGTCCCCCACGTTCTGGCCGAGCAGCATCGTCACATGGTCCACACTTAGGCTCTTTGAGGGAAGGGAGGGGGCCAGGTGGGAAGGGACAGAGAGTCACGAAGTGGCCGGGTTTCGGGGCCAGGAGAGGACTCGGCAGCACTTACCCAAGGAGTGAGCTCGGGGGCGAGGCCTGGCGGAATCACCCCAGAGAAGTGACCTGAGGCCCACTGTGGGGTGCCGGCAGACCTGTGGCCTGGGGTTCCCCTGTCTGGCCAGCCTGCCCCACTCCCCCAAGGGGCAGCCCCCTGGGCCCACCTGCAGCACATGGGGGTTCAGGTTGGTGAAGGTGTGGATGTCCATGGAGATGTTGGCCTCGGCCAGGCGCTGCAGATCCTCCAAGGGGGCACCGCCTGGGGGCGCAAGTGGTAAGGGGGGCGGGGGGCGGGGCTTCTAGAGGAAAGGTGTCTGCGCACAGGGCGGGGTCTCACCAAGGTAGGGGCGTATGAAGTGGTAGTAGGCAGCCGAGGTCCTGGTGCTGCTGAAGGCCTCTCGGGCCTTGGAGTACAGCACATCCTTCCGGCTCTGAGGGCAGGAGGAGACATCCAGGGCCCCGGCCAGCCTGGGGAGCGGGTGAGGCTGATGGGCAGGCCGGGACCCCTGGTTCTCTGGTTGGCTGGGTATGGCCCTCTCTCCCTAAACCACAGTGGTCCTCTTGTCCTCTGTACTGGCCTGATACGTTCACCCAAAACCTCAGAATGTGACCTCATTCGGAAATAGGGTCTTTCCTATTTATAGATGCAATCAAAGTAAGACAAGGTCCTACTGAACTAGGGCGGGCCTTAAAATCCGGCGCTTGGTGTCACAGACACAGACACGGTTGTGGGGGAGATAGCCACGCGGTGATGATGGAGGCAGAGATGGGGTGATGGGGCCAGAAGGCAAGAACAGCCAAGGCCTGCTGGCAACACCAGAACTTGGAAAGGGCGAGAAGAAACCTCTGCTACAAGTTTCAGGGGGAGCCTGGCCCTCTGACACCTTAGTCCCCAGACTTCTGGCCTCTGGACTGTGGGAGAATGAGTCTCTGTTTTTTTAAAATTCAGTTTGAGGTACTTTGCTTTGGCAGCTGGAGGAAACTAACACACCCGTGGTGGCCTGGCCCCAACCACTCCTGAGCCTCAGTTTCCCCTCTAATTCTCCGTGGGGAACAGTGGAACTGACCCCGAGGCGCTGGTGGGGCTCACCGGAACTCTGAGGGCCGGATGGCCTGGATCTGCTGGGGGCTCATCCAGCAGAGGCGGGAGCCCCCAATAGCCACAAGCAGTGCACTGGTGATGTTGCCCTTGTGGTCCAGGAACTTCTGCAGGATGGCCTGGGGGCAGGACCGGTGTTGGTGGGCCAGGGTCAGTGGGCTCCCCTACCCCCCATCCTTGCCACCTACCCCAGCTCTACTGCCCTCACCTCTGTCTGGTTCTCCAGGGCCACGTCCGAGGCCAGCAGGGCCATGACTGTGTCCCGAGATGTGATGTTCCACTGGCTGATCTCCGCGTGAGTGTAGAGGTAGACCAGCGAGGTGATGAGCCGAAGCTGCTCTTCTGGGACGCTGCTCGGGTAGAGCTACACGAACAAGAGGGTCAAGTCCCCAGGTCCCCAGTGCCCACCACCCGCTGGCCTCCACCCAGTCCTCAGTGCACCTGAGTCAGCTTGGCCTTGACGACACGCTGGCACTCGGCAGGTAGCGGGTGCTGCAGCAGGGGGTTCAGGTTGGCCTTGAGCACTTGGCTGCCCAGGCAGGACTCGAGCTGTGAGCAGTCATAGCGCACCAGGAAGAGGTCATCCCGCAGCGTGGCCGCCGTGATGTTGCCGTGGATGCAGGGTCTCACTGTGGCTGCGGGTGGGGTGGGCTTGACGACCCGGCTGCTCGGCCATGGCCCGGGCTGGCCACTGCTGCCAACTTCGGGCTCTACGTGGCTCCTAACCTTGACCCACCCTTGACTCTGTTTCCGAGCTTGACTTTTAGCCAAGAACCTGGCTCAGAGTAGACTGAGTCAAGTTTGACTTTGACCTCAACTTCCAGCCAGGCCCTGGCCCAGAAGTCCAGCCTCGCAGGCTGAGACGGCCAGTGCTGGACACGGATGGCTGGGCCGAGCACAGGAGGTGTGGGAGCAGGTGGGCCATGCATTGGGTGCTCCCACCCCAGAATCGGGAGTACAAACCAGTGTCCCCAGGCCACTGTGGCCGCACCGACCTGTGCCCCTCTTGGGCCGTGAGGACATCGACTTGGCCTTGGCCTCAGCCTCAAGGAAGCTGGTGACAAAGCGCCTGGCGTCACGCTGGCTGAGCCGCCCTGCCCGGCACGCAGCCACCATACTGCTGAAGAAGTCCAGGCCCACAGCCTGGCGGAGGGCGCTGAAGACGCCACACCTTGGAGCCACCTGGTTTCTCCTCCCGCCCCACCGATAAAACCCTGTGACAGGAGCGACTGGGGACACCAGGTGGGCGTTGGAGCAGCTGTATGGTGAGCAACCCTCAGGCCTGACCAGGCTGACGAATGGTGGCCTGGACACTCCTCCCTACATCCAGGGCTGGTTTAGTTCCCCCGAGTTACCCCAGGGCACTGTCTTACCTCCTGCACCTGCGCCCACAGGCTGGGGCTGATGTAGGTGGTCAGCAGTCCCAGAGCCTGCAGCCCCTGAGTGTTCCAGGAGACGGGGGGCCTGGCGTGGGGAAAGAGGGGGCCAAGTCGGGTCTGGAGCAGCGCCTCGCCCCTAGAGGCCGCCTGCCCTTCCCTGAGTGCACAGTTCCCAGGGCTGGACCTGGCGGGACACCTTCTCGACCCAGAACAGACTCAGGCTTCAGGGCGGGGGGATGGAGAGGCCCACTGGGTGTTGGTAGTGCCCAAAGGCTGTAAGGTCGGAGAAGGGCTGTAAGCTGCATCAGAAGTTGGAGGTCAGCAGGGCTCTGGGGCTCGGTGAACTCCTGGGCCCGAACCCTAGACCTTCTCTCGTCTCATCTCCAGGAGCAGAGGCCCGGGCAGAGGGGGTGGGACGCCCACTCACCCAAGCACGGTCCTCCCACTGGCCAGTAGTGTGTTGACAGCAGCCTGCTGGGCAAGGGTCAGCCGGGGGCAACGCTGCAGGTTCTGCAGCACGTGGGGGTCCAAGGCCACGATGCTGGACGCATCCATGTCGCACACCAGGACCCCAAGGAGCAGCAGGTCTGAGGCACTGAGCTGTCGGTGGGGCCCACCCTGCCGAAACGGAAGGTTAGTGAGAGCCAGGCCCCCCGGCCTTCCCACCCTTCCGGCCCCACCCCAGGGCCTACCAGGCAGGCCAAGGCTGCGTGCTGCAGGGCGGCCCTCTGGTCAGGCAGGTTGGCCAGCAGCTCTGTGTCCCCCCAGGCGGCACGGCGAGTGAAGGCCCGACAGTCGGCTTCCCTTACCTGCTCCAGGCTGCAGGCAGGTGGGGAACTGTTGGGAGGGTGGGGCCAGCCAGGGGTCCTCTGGGGTGGCCCAGGTGCCCCTGGGGAGCTGGGGCTCCCGGGACCCAGAGAGGCATGCTTAGACTGCGGGGCGTTGGGTGGGCTGGTGGGGGGCACTCACTTGTAGAAGAGCAACAGGTCGGGCGGGTGGAGCAAAAAGTCACCCTGGAGGCCATGCAGGGCAGCCAGGTTGGCCAGGCAGCAGAGCTGGGCAGGTACAGGGCGCATCACCGCCTCGGCAGCCGTCCTCTCTGCCACCGCACCTGCCCTACCCCCCTCCCCGCATCCGCCCAGCTTCCTCCTCCCGCCCGCCTGTTCCCTGTCACGGGACTAGTTGCCTTCCTCTGCCTGCCTCGACCTCCACATCAGAATGGCCTCAGAATGGGTCAAACTCAGCCTGACCATTACCACACCCCCCAACCTCTACCCCAGGGGGGCATTCAGGCCCTCTGCTCACCCCCCAGCCCCGCTGCACCATGGAAGCTCATCCCGATGTCACCTGTCCAGGCCTCTTGTCCTGCTTAGCCTATGCTGGGGTCATTTAAAATTTATTACGAGTTCTGCCCTGGCCAAGTGGCTCAGTTGGCTGGAGCGTCATCCCATATACCAGAAGGTTGTGGGTTTGATTCCCAGTCGGGGCACATACCCAGCTTATGGTTTTGAGCCCTGGTTGGGGTGCATGTGGGGGGCAACCGATTAATGTTTCTCTCCCCCTTTCTCTTTCTCTCCCTCCTTTCTCTCTGAAATCCACGAAAAACATCCTCGGGTGAGGATTAAAAAAATTATTACTAGTGTTTTTTTGTCTTTCTTTTTTTCTGTTCTTTGTGTGTGTGTGTTCTTTCCTTTTATTACTAGTTTTACACTAACTGTATAATGGGACAGAATTCCTTCCTTCCTTCCTTCCTTCCTTCCTCCCTCCCTCCCTCCCTCCCTCCTTCCTTCCTTCCTTCCTTCCTTCCTTCCTTCCTTCCTTCCTTCCTTCCTTCCTTCCAAATGAGGGCAGGTGGGCGGGTCAGCCGTGAGTCTAGGGGAGCTCAGCTGCCCTCCTCACGGCCCAAGTTGGGGGAAGGCCAGCAGGCTGGGAGATCTACCTCAGCGGCCCAGGACCTCAAGAGGGCACAACATGGCAGGTGGAGGCAGGAAGGGGACAGCACAGGCCGGGGGCCCAACCCCTCACTCAGCCAAGAACAGGAGGCTGGGGTCCTTGGGCAACTGGCTAAGGAGTCCTAGAAATGATCCCAAAGGGAACGTCCAGGAAGACCACTCGAGGGGGTGGGCAGGCTCTGTCACTTCGGAGTCAGCCTGAGAGGCTTCCGGGGTGGCTGTGAAACCGGCAGGCTGGTTGGCCTGGAGACAACAGTGCAGCGTCTCCAGTACGGCCCGAGTTCTCCCGCAAGAACGCCGCGGGGTCCTGGCCCCTGCCGGCCTGTGCCTTCTGCTGGGGACACTCCCTTCCCACCCATCTTCAGGCGCCTTTTCTTTGGAGCCTGTTCTTGTCTTTGAGACCACAACCCGCTCATGCCAACCAGGGCTTCTTACCTGCCAGGCCTTGAGGAGCACCCGCTGCGATGTCATCCTCCTGATCAGGGCCGAAAGCTCGTCCCGGGACAGCTGGCTGGCAGGCTGGCACCAGAAGCCTTGCAGCAGGGAGGCGCTAGCACTGAGCAGAAGGAAGCAGGTGGTGAGGGGTGGAGGTGGGGGCACAAGGGGCAGTCCAGGCCGCAGCATGCAGGGTGGAGGTCGGACCCCAACACTGAAGGAACGAGACCCAGGAAGTGTGGCAGGCAGGGCCTGGACACGGGCGAGGCCCCTGCTTCACCCCCTCCTCCTCCCTCCTCCTGTAAGCAGCCCGTTCAGGCTCTAAGCTCTGAGCAGGGGCGTCCCTGCCCAGATGCTGGGTCTCCGCTTCTTTCCCAGCTGGTCCCGGCAATGGCTGAGCATTTGAAGATGTGGCCTGGGCATCTGCTGGGCTACTGCAGCTGGCTGCATCTCCTCGCTGAGCCTTCCTCAGGGTGCGAGTCTGATAAACTTTGTGCATGAGGAGGGGGTCTCTTTGGACTTTAACTTGGGCCCAGCTGTTCCAACTTGGCACCCAACCTTGCTGGGTCAGTCAACTGATTGATCAGTTTACTGATGGCTGATCAGTGACCTCCAACCCCGCGGGGAAGGAGAGGACAGCTGAGCCTAAGCAAGAAACCCCTGGAAAGTGCACAGAAATGATGCAGAGTCTGTTCCGGGGCTTGACAGGGCGGCAAAGTCTCAGAGTATAAGGAAGGATGAGAACTCAGGATGGGCAGGAGTTGCCTGCCAGGCCAAGCGGGGCAGTGCAAGCACTGGGGGGCTCAGGAGGGACCCTGGACCCAGCCAGCTGTGATGACCTGGGCACCTGCTGTGAGCCACGTGGACATGACTCTGATGCAGGACACCAAACTCTGGGCCATGTCAGGGCAAGGTGGGCCAGGCAGGCCGGCAGGGCCAGGTTCCCCAGGTCAGAGCCAGGAGTCAGCAGTCCTGCCACAGCCGCACCTGGGCCAGGTGCGGACCCTGGAGGTGGTGCCTCCTTCTCATTGCCCCCCCCCCAGGCCTGTCAGGGAGTCGGCTGTGGGAGACACGGTTCATGGACGCAGGGCTTGCAGGAGGGGCTGGCACTTACTTGGCCCACAGGTTGGCCCTGCTGGCTTCCAGCCCTTCCTGGGAGAAGCCCTTGGCCTGGGGGCAAGAGCAGTAGATAGTGAGCCACACGAAGAGGGTGAGACCCAGGCTCGCCCGGGCACCTGGAACAGAATGGGCCGTAAACAGCCACTTGCCCCTGAGAGGCTGAGCCCTGCTGAGAGGGAGCACGTGAACAGGGTCCTTGTGTCCCAGGTGGGTCCGCGACTGCCCCAAATGGAAACCTCAAAAGCCAGGTGGCTCTGGTCACCTGTGCGTAGCAGCCTAGGCCTAAGTGTGTGGTGGGTGTGTGTCTGACCAGGGGAATGTACATGTGACAGTGTGTCTGGCTATACATGTGTCTGCCTGACTCTGTATGTGTGTGTTCCCAATAGTGCGCATATGTGACACGCACATATGTGTGGTGGCCTGTACGCACCTGTCGTGGTGTGCTGGCCCAAGTATAGTACACCTGAGTGTCTGATGGATGGCAGTATACATGTGTGATGATGTGTTCCCACCTGTAGCTGGTGCTGTGTACCTTTTGTGTGTGGAAGCATGCACACACATATATGATAGTGCGTATGTGTGCCCACACGTGTGTGATATGTACATGTGTGGTGTACAGTGTGTACCTATACACGCGGATCTCCCATCCTCGTGGCTCTGTCCTCACAGTCTGAGCCCCAAGATGGCCAAGCAGAGGGTCTAGGGGTCAACTCCCACCTCCTCCTGAGCCCCTTCTAGCTATGACCTCTCTCGTTCCTGCCTTGTCCCTCCTGGACACCCAGGCCCAGTGCCCTGCCTGCCCTTCTCCTTCCCTTCCTGGACCCCTCAGCCAGCTGCAGGAGGCTCAGGAGGACATAGTGGCCGGAGCGAGGGCACTCCCCACACCTGCCGTCACGCGGCCCAGGAGCCCCTTCTCTGAGGGGAGCCATCACCTGCTCTGGGGCTCATGGCTGCGCGACGTGCACAGGTTGCTCTGGCAGGAAGGCACCGGGGTCTTGGGCGGCAGGTCCAGAACGAGCTGGAGAGGAGACAGAGTGACAGGCCAGCTCCACAGTCTTCCCCAACCAGCCTTAGCCGAGGGGCACAAACTAGGAGGGTGCCGTCCGGGGGCATGCAGGAGGGGTGCCTTGCAGGGCAGGCAACCCGAGCTGGGCTACAGCTGCGTCTACCCGTCTTCCGGGAGGGCACAACCCCACAAATGACACACCTTTGGAACAAAAGGGAGCTGCTGAGGGGGAGCCAGACCTTTCTTATCACGGGTTGGGGCTCAGGGGACCACAGGCTGTGGCTTGGAGTGTGGTGTCTCCGATGAACAGATCTCTTGAGTTACAGGGAAGGGGGCAGCGGTCCCAGTGAGTCCCCATAGGCAGCTGCGGGAGAGACCTGGTGGCTACCCAGCTTGCCCTGGAGTGGCCATGGCTTCACCCCCACACCTGGGCTGCCCATGCAGCTCTGTCCCTCTCTGGGGCTGAGACCTGGCCCCAGACACAACCCCTGGTGCAGTCCCCTAGGTAGCCCTGGCTGTGGTGGAGACCAAAGCTGTGAGGCTTGGGCATGTAGGTCCTGGGAGGTGAGGGGCATCAGGGAACCTGGCCACACCCACTTTCAGACACAGTCTTGCACAGCCTCACAGCTTGGGGTGACTGTGGGCCTCTGGATTCTACTTGGCCCAGGAGAAAGACAGAGCGTTTACCATCCCATACAGGCCTGCAAAATGGAGGCTCAGAGAGGCTCAGCTACCTGCCCAAGGATGCAGAGACCAGATTAGAAGCCTGACCTTGTGGGTCCAGCGAGGAATGGCTCCCACCCAGACCCCTGGCCCTCACCTGAGTACAGAGACTTTCTGTGGTAGAGGGTGGTGATCCAGGACCAGGCAGCAGCCGTTGGGTGCGGAGGGCTGTAACCAGGTGCCACACACTTCAGACACTAGCAGTCCCAGCCCACTGAGCGTGTCCGTCCCTGCAGCCAAGCCCTGGGGCACAGTGGTGGTGCGGGGCTGGGGCACCAGGATCCCTGCTCATCTCCCTTCTTGTGCAGCCGCCCACTCCCGCAGTGACGTCCACCCAGCCGATGCACAGGGCAGGGGTTGAGGCTGTGCCAGGCAACGCTACTATGTCAGCCCCTGGGGCCCAGCACAGCAGGCACCTGTTCTTAGCCCCAGGGGAGCGGGAGTTTGAGCACATGGTTGGCAGCTGCCCAGCGTCACCCCTTCCCACCGAGGTGTTGTGCCTAGAGGGTTGTGTGCGCGTCCACACACACGCACCCCACCTTCACTGTGTGTGCTGGTGCGCGTGCACATGGGGCCTATACACACATGCCTGGGAACACACAGATGTGTGCATGTGTGTTTCCTGCAGGGGTACTAGGCATATGCAGACTCAAGGTGGTGCCTAGGTTTATTGACGTGTTTTTTTCCTGTGGGTGCTGGAGCAGAGCCAGGCACATGTAGTACCAGAAGCAGGGAAGGTATGTGGGCACAAGGCGGGCAGCCTTGATGGTGGAGAGTGTGCCACACATACCCTGGGGCCAACCCACCAGGCAGGCCTCTGAGGCTCAGCAGGAAGGGTGCCTGCAGGAGTGACTTCCCCACCTGCCCACACCCAGGTCCAGCTACCGGATGACTGCCATCTGCACCACATGGTGGTATGTGCCCAACAAGCCAGCCTTATGGCCAAGCAGAGGCGCTGACCTGAGCCTGCTTGGTCAAGAGCTGGAGGGACCAATTGCAGATCGCTCCTGGGCCACACACAGGCCCCATGGAAGTCCAGTTATTGGCTGAGGGCTTGCTAGGGCTGTACACGCTGGGGGGACTGGGGGCAGCAGAATGTCACATGGTAGTGGAGTCTCCACCCATTTCAGGGCTGGAGACTCCACAGGTCAGAGGAGATAAGAACAGGAAGCAGGCAGTGTGTGGGGCAGGCCACATGCTGGCTTGCTCACTGCAGCTCAGTCCCAGGCCCAGGCCAGACAAATGACCTCGGCCACAGAGCAGTTGCTGGGCTGGAGAGTTGCATCCTGCCCTGGCTCTTCCATGCAATGCTTCACTGAGTCAGCCTTGGCCCATGGAACAGTTTCCATGCCCAGTTCAAAGGTGAGGAAACTCAGGTCCAGAGAGGCTGAGCTACTCCCCTGTGGCCACAGAGCAGTGATTGGGGAGCATGACCAGACCCTGTGGCCAGGCTGGGCACCTGCGAGTGGGATGTGACAGGGGCATGGGTATGAGGACAGGGGCAGAGTGGATAGGGAGGGGTGGGTCGGGTCTCAGCAAGAGGTGATGTGTCCTGACGTGAAAGAGTGAGAACTGGAAAAAGGTGTGCCAGGGTGGGGATTGGTGACGCTATCCCATCACACCCCTGGCCAGTCATGCTGCGTACACCACAGGAACCATCTGGGCTGCCAATACGGGTATCCCGTGGGACCCTCCCAATACAAATGAAACAGGCGCAGGAGCAGGGACTGGGCACTGGCTCTCTGCAGAGGCCCTATGGTGGCTGCTGCTGGCTCCATCCCAGCCGAGTTCCTGCTGATCCCAGGTAGGTCAGCTCAGGAGCCTGTGTCAAAACAGGACCTGTGTCACCCAGTAAGAGGGGTCCAATCCAGCCAAGTGCAGGGACATAGCACGTGACCTCAGACTGGCTGGTGGCCCACGTGACAGCCCTCCCATGGCATTCTGACACAGTGGAGAGCCCTAAGCCAGTATAATAGTGGTCAGGTCAGTGGCTCTGTGAAGGATCCTGGGGAGATTAGATGGAAGCTGCAATGCTTTTGGCTGGGAGGGCCAGGGATGCTCCGGTTTTTCCCCAGCAGGGCAGGCAGGTGCTCACTGTACGGGGACACAGTGAGGTGGGCAGTCCTGGTTCTTGCAGGGGAGTTTGGGGCAAAGAACTGCCTGGTGCAGGGAAGGGGGCAGAAGTCTGGGCTCCCCCCAGATCCCCACATTAG